GGCTTCATGGTGGGCACCATGGCATCCCCTGCCCTTCCAAAGGGTTTGAGAGGTTTTATTTAAGGTTTGTTTTTTTCTTTTCCCCGCTGCACCATAACAAGAATGTTGCATTTGGTTGTGCCGGAGAACTTTATGGAGATGCATAGAGCCAAACTTCACAGTTCATCCTGATCTTTCTGAACCTCTACTTAATTAGTTTTCTATAATCTGGTTTCTCTTCTCTGCTGGCGTTTCATTTACCAGCAAACCCAGCCGGAGGCCTGCCATACCTCCGATGTCTGAAGCCTCTCAGCGAGGGGGAAAGACCACACAAACCCTTGTGCCTGACCCCAACAGCAAGTGCCAGCGCTGCCCCTCGCACTGCTCGCTGGAACCGGCTCCCACAAACCCCTTTTTCCTCTGTGCGCTTTGGCACCGGGGCCGCAGCGGGAGTGCAGGGACACCGAGAGCACTGGGGGCTGCCTGGCTGCTGTGGCTTGGGGATGGGGGGGTGGTCGTCCCCTCTTGGCCCCCTGTGCCTGCCTGCCTTGTCCCAGGGGTGTGGAGGCAGCTGCCGGCCTCCGTCCTGCCATCCAGCTGCTGCCAGGACGGGGTACGGCCCCCAGAGCTGCCTGCTGACTGCAGGGTGTCTCTGAGCAGCAGCGAAGGCAAGTGACTGAAGTGGCCAGAAACCGCCCGTGTGTACCTGGGCAGTGCATCCCGCTGACGTTGGTGACATCCCAGTGACTGGCACGTCCGTCACGGCTCATGGGGTTTGTTTCTGCTGCACAGGATGCACCCGAACCTGACCAAAGGCTTTGGTATGATCGGACCCAAGGATTTCTTCCCCCTCCTGGACTTTGCCTTCATGCCCAACAACTCACTGCTGCCCAGGTATGCTGGCATCCCCCGCTGCACCCCAGTGGAGGCTGTGCCATGGGGCGAACATCCCGGTCGCCTCCTTGGCTGCTCTCCTCAGCCCCGGTGCCATCTCCCCTCAGCCTGCAGGAGCAGCTGCGGCGGCTCTACCCTCGCCTCAAGGTGCTGGCGTTCGGCGCGAAGCCAGAGACCTCGCTGCACACCTACTTCCCCTCCTTCCTCTCCCGAGCTACGCCGAGCTGCCCTCCCACCATGAAAAAAGAGGTGAGCCCTGAGTGGGAGTTGCACGGCCACCAGTATCACAGGACCCTCAGACCCAGAGTGTCACTGTGTGGCACAGGGCAGCCCTGGTGTGACAGCGAGGAGGGACAGGCGAGCGGGTCCCATCCTTCCTACCCCCACCCGCTGCGGCCACCAGCCTGGCTCCTGGGCACAGATGGGCACTGGCCGCCCCTCGCGCAGGCTTGGCTCCCCCATGCCAGAGGCTGAACGGGCAGGCGGGCACGGTGCGTCTGATGTGCCAGAGCGAGTGATGTGTGTGGTGCTGGGGATGAGGACCAGGTGTAAGGGCCTGCTGTGCTCTCCTCCCAGCTCCTGACCTCCATGAGCCAGTGTCTGAGCCTGGACCCCCTGAGCTTCAGCGTCTGGCGACAGCTCTACACCAAGCACCTCTCTCAGTCCAGGTCTGTTCATCCCTGCTGCCCGCCTGCTGCTCTGAGCAGGGCCAGCACCAACCTGCTGGCGTTCAGGAGCGTGTTAAACTGCTGCTTGCAGCTCCTGACCTGGCCTTGCACTCTCTTTCCACCCACAGTTTGCTCCTGAACCATCTGCTGGAGTCCTGGGACAGCAGCAGCAAGAAGGTAGGAGTCAGCTGTGGAAAGGAGGAGTTATGTGGGGTGGGGAGACAACGTACTCGTGCTGCTGCAGGGTGTCTCCATACAGGCAGCGTCCCCGTGGGACCCGTGTGTGCCCATCCAGCGCCTCGGCGGCTCCGCTGGCGGGGCCATGTGCCTGCCAGGCTTGGGAGCCAGCCCTTTGTCCTGGGCATCACGCTGCCCACAGGCAGGGCATTTCTTTGCTTGCTGGCAGAGAGGAGAGCCCCTTTCCCTCCACGTGCCATGTCGGGAGTCAGATATTCCGGGTTCAGCCCCCATTAGGCCTCGCTGCTCTAGCGCTGTGGTGAGCAGGGGCTCGCCATCGGCAGAGCGGCACAGCCCCTGCGACTCTGGAGCGGTGGCTGGCTGAGTCGACTGAGGGACTTGGTGTTGGTGCAGGAGCCTTGGAGGTGTCCCCATGGCCAGATCCGTCCTGCAGGACCTCAGTGTTTCTGTCCGTCCCGTCTCCGCTCCCTCCTGCGGTGCTGGGTTGTGTGGGTGCGCGGTGCTGCCGGCTCGGGGTGCTTGGGGCCGTGATGCAGCTCTGGTTTTCCCCAAGGTGCGTCAGTCGCTGCAGGAAACGGTTCGCTCGTTCAAAGTAACGAACGAGGAGCTGGCGGCAAGAGGCCCCAACAGCGACCAGGACGTGGCCGCCTGCAATGCTGCCTGCAAGGTGAGCCCCGGGCAGGGCCAGGTGGTGCTCGGTGTCAGCCGGCAGACAAATTTCAGCTCAGTGCTGGGGCTGCTGTTGGCCTCTCCTGCTGCGGGCACGCGCCGGGCCAGGGCCCCGCAGCGGCACATATGCAGGAGACGCCGGGGACAGATGGTGCTGGCCCTTGTCCATCCTCCCAGCTGCTCGGCAGATGATGCCGGTTTCCACTGGGAAGCCGGGAGTGGGTGGTGAGAGCAGCCGCAAACGCGGCAGCATGCTGCCAGAGGGTGATACAGCTGCGTGGGAACCCCCCTGGCCTTGGGAGGCGCACAGTGACGGGGCCTCATCCTCCTGCCTGCCCAGGAGCTGCTGCGCAAGATGAAGGGCCGAGGCGTCCCCTGGTTGCGGCTGCTGCTCGTCCTCCTTGTCTTCGCCGCTGGCTTCCTCCTGCACGACGTCCGGACACACGGCTCTTTCCAGGGTAAGGCAGCAGCTCTGCTCGTGGCTCTGTGTGATGTGGAGGAACGTCCCTAGGGAACAGTAACTTTGCCATTCTCCTGAGTGAAGCCCCTCCGTGCCCCTGCCTTTGTCCTGGGTCCGTGCCGCTGGCTGCCCTTGGGCAGCGTGGCCCCATTGGTCTGTGAATGGGTGTACGTGGGGGGTACGTGGGCGGTGGAGGGCCGGACGTTCTCGGCAGGCTGCAGAGGGATCCCCCTGCCCCTCCCCGCCTGGGGGTGGTTTCCCCAGGGGCTCCCTAAACCTGGGCTTCCTCTCTGCTCGGCAGTTTCTGCCCCTCTTTGTCCCATCTTGGCGCAGCTTCCAAGATGATT